AAAATTTCTTGAACATCACTAGTTTCATTTCAATATAAAAAAATTATAAAAGAGAATTTCAATGATCTTCTGACATTGATACATTTAGAAATCATGAAGGTATCTAGCTCAAGATGTTTAAGAGCTAACATTCATTATGTACTTGTGTAGTTTCATATTGAATTCAAACCTTCATAAGGTCCCCATGTAAAATTTTTTGAAGTTGGACCTCGCACCAACTTAACTAATGGCACAGTATTTCTATGGTCTATAGAGCAATCCAAACTAAGATGTCTAAAAACCCTGGTGCATCTACTCATACCTGCAAGAGTTTGGGGTGAAATGAGGGATGGTTAACTTGATTAGCAGAGATCAACGTCGTTTCAGATGGCGCAAGCAGTCATTACAGTAAACTGTAATCATTGACCACACAGGGTGATTTGAATTCATGTTTAATTCCACATTCATTTTTTATACTGTGCTTTTAGGATAACTTAAGAAGTGAGTTATTGAATTTTTTGTTTCTAAAGTGTTATTGACGAATTGTCAGTATTCGAAAGATAAGTGTCTAAGTTCTGGTGAATTATTAGTTGAAGTTTCAACCCAAGCAAAGTTTTGAAGAAATTTCGTGTAACTTTTTTATCCAGCCACAGAAGTCTCAAACTATGTTTTCAGAAAAATTTCGTTTTAGTTTGGACAGAAGCTAATCATGATCTTTGTTAACATGAAATTTCTTATTCGTGTGATAGCAATATTTTATTTATATCACAACTCATAAAACTATTATACAATATTTCCTTCAAGAATCTGATGAAGGTTTCTTACATTTTTTAATTTTATTTCCATCATATTTATATTGCATCAAGAAAAGTGAATCAACAGCGTGCAAGAAACAGTAAAAATTTTTTATTTTCCACTTATTGATACTGGAAATCAGTTTTATTACTAATATACAAACAATAATTACCTACTCATCATTTGAAAAATCAGCTGAATATGTCTATAATCATTAATTTTCAACCTCACTTCACTAGGAGAATACTACAATCCTCACTCTGTAGATGTATATTGAAGAAAAAAAGAATTTTTTCTATTCAGATTTTTACGAGTATATTTTCCATTTTTCAATTGTAAAACAGAGGCCGCGGCTAAGTTAGAACATTCCCAGTCAACTCCTTCACCCGGTCCTCACTTGGTTAGGACTGAACTGTGTCCTCACTGCAAGATACGAAAAAAATTCAAGAGACAAAAAAGTTGTATTTCTAATTGCTCAATCCAAAGAAATAATAAAAATTGCACAAAATTCAGTGGCGTACATTTTCAAGTCAAAAATATTCGTTCAAATCCCGCTCGAGACGCCACTGGACTTAATAAACTGAATCACGTTCGGGCTAAATTAGCTCCCTAATGTTATAAATACCATTGCCAAATTACAACAAAATTAGGTAAAGGATATTTAAGATATTTACGAATAACTTTTTTTTTATTTTAACACCCTGTATCTTGAGAACGAAGGATTTGCGGATCCATGTTTATATGAACATTTCGTCTTAAAATTACCTAAAGAATCGTCTGTTAAATTTATGGTACATACTTAATTAACAACCTGTATTGGACAGAATTTTTGGTTTCAGACCATGTATTTTCGTTGAAAATAACAACCGTATCATAACCATATGATATAATTCTTGCTTTTACTTTAAAACAGAGTGAAGCATGTATGTAGGCTTGAAAAAGTATTGGACCAAGAACGGTTCCTTGGTGGACCCCTGTTCTTATGGTCATAGTTTCACTTAATGTATCGTTAATTTTAACACATTGTTCCCGATCAGTCAAATAATTGCGAGACATCCAACACTGTCCTACTCACACCAAAGCGCTCCAGTACGTTTAGAAGTATTTCATGATCAAGAGTGTCAAATACATTTGCCAAGTCTAGAAACACTGCAATAAAAAAATATTATTAACAAAAAATGAAAAATAAAAATTAAAAGATTCCAAACCAAGTTACGTAACGACGTTTCGATTGTTAGTATCCACAATCGACGATTGTGCATTTCTTGATGAGTATCAAGAAATGATTTTGAATTGGGGTGAAAATAACCAGGTATAATTCAACGAAAACACAGGCATCGGTTTTCTCCAAAAAATAAATGTTTCCTAACCGGACATAATAATGTCAGGTCAGACATTTTCACTTTCCGCTTCAATAAGTTTTTTGGGGGGTTAAAATGGATGGCAATATGTCTTGGCACAATCATGTCGCTGGAATTGCAAAGGCTGCTTTGGAACATTGTTCCGAACCAGAAAACTATATACACCACAGCAACTTTTGATGCTTTATAAAGCTCAGATCAGGCCTTGGAGTATTGTTCTCATGTATGGAGCTCCGCCCCCAAACAACCTTGAAGTTGCTGGATTCCATCCAGAAAAGAGCTATCCGCCTGATTGGAAACGCTAACATCACGTGCAACTTTGATAGCCTGGAACATCGAAGAGATTTATCTCTCTTCTATAAATACTTTCACGGGGTTGTTCAAGTGACTTGGCACATTTGATTCCACCAAGAGCGGTACATATCAGAAATACGCGACGGACTGTGGCTGCTCATCGTTTTGAGGTTCAACTCAGTACACCTCGAACTTCACTGTTCAAAAACTCCTTCATCTAGAGAACTGCGTTTATGTGAAATAAACTTTCAGAGAACGTTTTTCCAAATGGATTTGATCTTCAGCGATTCCAATCCAATGTGAATCCCTACTTTCGCCCAGGCACCGCTCTGAAAGAGCTTTAAAGATTTTCTTGTAGTGCTCAACTGAAGTTGAGTTTTTGATTTTGATTTTTCATTTGTTATTCAAAATCTAGATTAATTCGACTTATTAAGTAGAATATAACTATTTATTATTATAATTCATTTATTTTATATTCTTTTATAAGGAAATATCTCGTACTTGAGATGAAGTTTATATACTTTATTTTATCGAATTTATTTGGATGACATTATTTGAAAATTTTATTTATTTACCTACTGAATTTGAGTTTTTGATATTTCGTTTTTGGTAATGTGCTCAACTTCTAAACAAATATAGTTCATAATTTTAAGACGGCGGATAGTAATGGTCGCCCTTCACTTGCTTCTAGTGAAAATGATGTTTTAACTTGTAAACTTTGCTCAAAAAAAGTTGTAGCAAAAGTGCGGTGCATAAAACTCTTTCACCCAGCTTGTTTTAAATAATCCAGGTACCAAAAAACCCCGATTATGAAACGACCGGTGGACAAAACGACACACTTATTGAAAATCATTTCTGGAAGAAGAAAACAGACTACTCAGAACAATGCTGACAAAAATATAATAATTTGTGACAAGGAGAAACTTATCTAGTTGCTACAGGATAAAATAACATTGTTAGAGACAAACCCAGCAAAAACTGTACCAAACCATATAGAATCAACAAAAAGTGTAAATAACAACTCAACAAAAAGACAAACATAAAAATAGCTGAAGCTACAAAACCTATCTGGAGTGCTCCGTCAACAAAACAAAGTCAGATGAGTGTGAAATCTAATTTACAGGGAGTATCAAGTATTGGAGAACAACAAGTAGCAGCCGAGATCCTGAAATTAGAATCTTTAAAAAATTTAAACGACGAAAAATGATACTGAACGTCAAGTAATTGGAAAAGCTACAGATCTAGAGGAGAAAAATGGCGAAGAAGTGGAAAATATTTTCACTATGGTAACCAGACATAAAATAGGCAGTGGCCAAAGAGATGAATACTTACAGGGACTTGAAAAAAAACGAGAAAAAAATTTGGCTTTTTGTTTCCAAGGTATCAGATAAAATAAAAGGAAATGATATTAGTAACTTTATCAAAAAAAGTATTCAATGTGCTGACGTCCATGTGAAGAGACTCGCCACACGGATTGTCAGGAGAGACAGTGAAGCCTTCATGGTTGAAGTAAAGCCAGAGTACCAGAATCAATCTGGCCCAAAAACATATGTTTTTGTTGCTTCAACTTCAGACTAGGGCAACAATAGCCTCAGCCCCCACGCAGAGGGATGCGTAACTAGTTCCCAAAATTCTAGTCTACAGTTATTGCACTTAAATACTCAAAGTTTAGCGAATAAACTGAATATAATTGAGATGTACTGTCAAACCAATAATTCAACATTCCTGTGCATATCTGAACATTGGATGTGTGAAAACAGAATGACTAATTTAAATCTAACAAATTACAGGCTAGTATCCAGTTTCTCCAGGATCAGGAGTGAACATGGTGGCACTGCAATTTTTGCAAATTCACAATTTCTCGAAGATAATATCTGTAAGTCAGTTCCATACTTATCAAGCTGCTCACTGGAGGTACATTTCAAGTTTTAGCCATTGAAGTAAACAAAAAACTTTGTAAAGTAACTTTATATTGTAGTCCATATAATGATTCAGGAATAGTTACATTTCTCAATACATTAGTCCTCATCCTTGACTATATGATAGCAAGATATACAAACATATTAATATGCGGATATTTTATTTATAGACTTCAAGGGAGAAAGTCATTACAAAAAACAACTTTTTGATATATTTGGAATGTTTCAGCTTGAGTTACCATACTGTGATCCAACACATGTTGCAAAGTATGGTGAGCTAGTAACTAGTAGTGTCACTAATATAATGCCCATCTCTTGTAAAGTTGTAGATGTAGGCATCTCAGATCATTATGCTCAAATATTGACATGGAACAAAAATAAAATAAATAAGGCAAATATCGAAACAAATTATATCATCACTCGAAGGATAAATGAGCAGTCTCTTTCAGAATTCAAATCCTTAATACAAGCAGACACTTTCTATTATAAAGAGGATGAAACTGTGGATGTCATGTTCAATTATTTTATCGTGCATTTTCAGTGATGTTTGGATGTAACAATTCCTAAACAAAAAATTAAACCAAAGAAACATTCCAAAACCGAGAAATTACCATTCCCAAGAGATCTTCATAAAGACCTAGAAAATCTCAAACAACTCAACTGGCTACGGAAACATTCAAATGACTGAACCATTCATAATTATTATAAAATAACTAAGAAGCAAATGGATAACAAAATTTCTTGTATAAAAAAGAACTATTATTCCAATACAGTTGCCTCCTCTGATAACAAGGCAAAAGCTCTGTGGAATTTGGTAAATATCAAGACTAACCACAAAAAAAAACAGGAAATCACCTTAAATGTAGATAATGAAATATTAGCAGATAAAACACAGGTAACAAATATTTTTAGGAAGCACTTTGCAAATTCTGTTAGGGAGAAGCTAGACTCTACTAACCTCCCCGTTGACCTGTGCACAAAGTCAGCCCTCACAATTCCTAATTCTATGTTCTTTGCTCCTGTGCCTGAACATGACGTCAAATCTATTGTGTTAGGCTTGATAAAGAAATTTTTCACTGGCATAGATGAAATACCAACAATTCTTCTGAAACAGTCCATTGACAATATTTCAAGTACATTAGCCATCATTATAAATCACTCTGTCATTAGTGGAGTGTTCCCAAATAAATTGAAAATATCAAAAGCAGTTCCAGTATTCATGACTGGGGATACCCAGTGCGTGAAAAACTACAGAGTGATATGTCTGTTGAACTGTTTTTCCAAAATTATGAAAATGGCAGCCTATAATCAAATAACATCATACCTAACTAAGCATAATTTATTAACCCCACGACAGTTCAGATTCCGACCTGGCTATTCTGTCGAAACAGCCTCAGCAGATCTTGTACAATATATACAGTATAGCATCAACAAGAATAAATTTGTGGTGGGACTATTCTTTGATCTGTCTCGTGCATTTTATACAATCAACCTTAGGTATCTACAAATAAAACTGGAAGCTCTAGGCATCCGAGGTCCAATTCAAAAATGGATCGAGTCATATATGTCTGGTAGATCTCTTAAGGTGCAGGTTGGGAAGCAGTTCTCCGAGGTACAGGCTAAAATAGATAACGTAATAACAGAATTTACATACTGGTGTGAAGTAAATCACCTTATCAATAATGCAAAGAAAATGGTCTCCATTGAATTCACTAGTACCTTAAAGCGCAGTAATAAATTATCAATAAATGTTTGTAAAAAACTCAACAAGCTCTACTTTGCATTTATTACTCTGAAATCAAACTTTCATAGGCACCACCTACTAAACCTATATTATTCTTTAATATACAGTATCATTAGTAGTAACATCATTGTGTGGGGAAGAGCTACAGACACATGCATAATTTTCATATCACAAAAGAAAATCATAAGGTTAATATATGATTTGGACTAAACGTACAGAAACACGTTCATTGAAAACAATATCCTAACACTAACATATATCTAACTCTACAAATTGTTGATATATATATATATATATATACCTAACAGAATGCTTAAAATATGAACAGAAACAGTGACTACCATGAATATAATACCAGACAGTAGAATGACTTCCATTTGTTCAATCTTTTGCCCGAAGACTTGAAATTCATTACCAATATGAAACATTTCAAACTATCTTTGAAAAAGTGTCTCATCCGCCATGCCTTTTACTCATTAGACGACTATAAACAACTTCGCGACTAGGCAGTTATGTTTCAATGTATTTTAACATGTGTTATATTTAAATACTTTATTTTATTTAATTTGTAACAAGGATATTTGTGATGTTTTTTTCTTAATGTTTATATCCAATGAGATTTTTTTTCTTTCTTTATGTACTATGACATCTCATATTGACAGGCAAATAACAGTGCGAGAGTAGCGATTGGGTCAATTTAGTTAATCCACAATTCAATAAAAAGAGGCACCTGTGATTACAAGTATCATCTGCAAATCTGCAATAATTTACATGTGAGTAAGACCATGCTGTGGATATTAGTGTTCATAATGATCAAGAATGAATAGTGATAGTGAAATGGATATCAGAAAAACTCCCACAGAGCTGCAGGAACTCACAATTATAGTTGGATTTACTATCATAGAAATCACAAATTCTATATGAAAATCAATACAACTTATTCAACAACTGGCGTCACAAACACAATATCGAGAATTTTTGAGTAAATGTTATTACGGCCTATTTTTCTCGTAAGGCTGGCAATAATTATGTCATCGATGCTATGGTCAATATAATCTATTCGGAATTCCACATTAACCATCAAGGAAAACGTTGATATATCCAGATTTCTAAAACTTATTCCATTTTTGAAAAAACAAGGCATTGGGTACAAAGAGAAAAATCTTGGAGTATTCAGTTGAGATGAAATATAAAAAAATAATTTCAACAGTATTTTGAGTACTCTAAAACTTACCCTTTTTTGCCTAATATAACAGACATACAGGCTGTCAAATACCCACTTCCTGATCCAACATCCAAAGCTCTTGTGCCCATTTCCAATCTATCTTTCAAAAGTTCTAAGGCATGAGCATGCATATGCGGTGCACTTATGGTAACACCAAATCCAATACATTGAGGAGCATCCATGTAGGGATTATTTTTGGAATAATTACCCCTGTCCACAGATAACATAGCATTCTGAACAGAGTCACTTCTGATAATACCATTCACTGAAATGTTTTCACTGTAAGCAAATTCAGAATAATACAGAAAAACAACATTTTAAATTCCTAACAAGATCTGAATTATTTTTGCCGTGAGATCTCCAAGCCATCCCAATCCAAAATTATATTATTTTGAATTATTAAAACACCTCAATTTTTTAAATTCTGACAATGGACCAGTACTGTTGTTGCTAATAGAAACAAATGTAACACAAACTACTTTAGGGTAAGTGGTTTGTGCATATAACACATTATTCCAAGAAAAGTTACATTTGACCTTTGAATCAATCAAAGACTACACCGAGTTCTCTCTCTCTCTATTTTGGATGGTCGTTGCTTAGTTAGGTTAGGATTTTTCGAGCGCGAAATTCGAACTCAGGTCCATCACGGAAACCTGTCATTTAATTTCCCATGTAAATCTTATGGGACTAAAAATTCTTCGACTTTGTCGCCTTTTTTCAGGTATTCAATTTCATTCATTAGAACTGATTTTACATAAAAAATATGAAATGGAGTTTCCTTTACCTGTTTGATACAAAATAATTAAAAAATATGGATAATTTTCTATAAATTTGTCAATATAAAAATGCATTGCAAAATTCATGGAACGCATGTCTTAGATTGAAGAGTGGTGGGGCAACAAAGTTAGCGGGATATTTAAAATTCACGTGTTAATACCAACAAAGTTGAGCTGGAGAAATGTTATTTCGAAAATCTGAAAATGGTGCATTGTTTTGCTCCTGGGGTGAGTGGCGGGGGATCACTGTCTCTCTCTTATGGGTGTTTGACAGTCCCCCGGTGCAGACCACACGGCACTCACCCAGTAAAGTTATCGGTCAACCACCCTATCCCGCATCTGCGGGCAACAGGCGTTGGCCGATTTCAAGCTAGATGTGTGGGAGAGGTGTCTCGCAAGAGCCCTCGGCGGTTACTCATCCAACGCTGGAAAGGTAACTTTCCTAACATGAGTGCCCCTCGGGGTAACGTAAGGGTATGCGGTGCAGACCACACGGCGTACACCCAA